GGAAGACTCCTTGATTATGAAGTTGCCCTCTCAACCGCCTACCACCCGCAGACTGATGGACAAACTGAACGATTGAACCAAGAACTCGAAACCTATCTCCGCATTTATTGCCGATCAACCCCCAAGATTGGGTAAAACATCTTCCTATGGCAGAATTCGTCCATAATCACCGAAAACACGACTCCCGAACACCTCTCCATTCTTCCTCATGATGGGCTATGAGCCTCGAGGAATCCCCTACGCTTTCCCCTGATTCCGCTATCCCTGCCGCAGAAGATCGAGTAAAACACCTCCAGAAGATTCGAGAAGAAGCTCTTGCCTGTCATAAATTAGCAATGCAACGTATGGCCGAACGATCATTTGGAAGGAAGTTTGAACCCTGGAAACCTAAAGACAAGGTTTGGTTATCTGCTGCGCATCTTATCACCCATCTCCCATCAAAGAAGCTCGCGCCAAAGCGATATGGCCCCTTCGAAATTGAAAAAGGTCCTCTCCCCTATCACATTCAAACTCCGCCTCCCCGAATCTTGGAAATCTCACCCCGTGTTTCATGCTTCTGAACTATCATCCTATCAGGAGACTGAAATCCACGGCCCGAACCATCCTGAACCACCACCTGATCTTATCAACGGACAAGAGGAGTACGAGATAGAAGCGATCCTCGCCCACAAGGGAAACGTAAAAGGAAGACGCCGCTTTCCTCGTGTCATGGAAGGGTTACCCCAGTTCAGAAAACTCGTGGTTGCCCGAAAAGGAACTCCAGAACGCCCTGGAGATCCTGAAAGCCTATAAAGACCGTCTCAAATTAGCCCGACTTCTCCATTGAACCCTTGTCTCCAGAAGCGATTCTAGCAAGCAAACCATGTCTTCGTCTTTCCAACTCGCTGAATACTTCGAACTCGTTAACGAGATCGACGCTGCCTCTCTCGTAGAATCCGCCCTGTTATCCCCACAGCATGCTCTTGAAATAGAACACATCCTCACTGAAAGAGAGGATGACACCACCTTTACCACTGTCAATATCATCCGCACCACCAGTCTCTTGGAAACCATCGCTGAAAATGTAGGCAATGCCGACGATCGGCGTAGCATTCTCTATCTTCAAAGAAAAATACGGACCTTTGCTCTCCATCTCCTTCCCTTGTATTTCAAGGAGGACGTAACGCAAGCCATACAAACCATCGCAGAACGAGTCACAACTGAGGTCGCCATTCCACCCCCACCTCCTCCTACTGCTATCCCCGTCACTCCCGAACCGACAATCACACTACACGTCCTTCCACCGCAGAACACGCTCAGACGTTCGGAACGTCGTAAAAGCTCTGCAAAGAAAACACCCTACAAACCCAAATCACGCTCCCCTCCAAAGAACAAAGATCGCTGCTCGCAGCCAGATATCGTAACCCCTCCAAAGCCATCCAGATCACTACCACCTCCTCTTTCCTTCGATGACAACATCATTTGCCGCCACTGCAAAGGAATGGGACATCGTCACAAGAACTGCCCAGAATATTACTGCAGAGCGTGCCTCGTGTTCAAGCCTGGACACCTATCAGTCTTCTGCCGCCAACTCAACGGCGAAAGAGTCCTCCCCATGGAGCACAATGAAGAAGGCTTCTATGATGCACTTGCTAAATGGGAAGCGGACCAAGACGAACTTATCGAACGAATTGAGCGAGAAGCAGAGGAGCTCGCCAACAAACGCACAGGGGACGATCTGTTGGAGTTTCATAACGCTGATGCGGATCTCGTCTACTATGACGATGCGAGGTTGGAAAGTTGTTGAAGTCGGTGACTTCAGACGATAAGAAGGGGCTAATGTTACAGCGGCCCCATCATTTTCTCATCATCATGCTTCTCCGATCTGTTCCTGTTATCTCTGACTGCTTATCAACATGCACTGCATGAACATTCTAGATACTTCCGTCTATTCTTGTTATCTCTGACTGCTTATCAACATGCACTGCATGAACATTCCAGATGTTCCATGACGTTCTTCTTGACTCCTTTCACTTCCATAGTCGGCCTGGTCCGTGCCTCCTTTGTCCATTATAAATACCGCAGTAGTTACGCTTGTATTCTCTAACTTGAATCTACTTGGTTCTCTCTGATACTCGATCATCTTCTGAGGAAGATACTTGATTCCGATCTAGCTCTTATAGAGACTAGTCTATACTCGAACTTCACTTAGAGGGAAAGCCCCTCAAGTGTCTGAACCGAACGTCGTAACACGAAGAACTCCTTTATTGGATTAGTTACGCAAGAACTATCCAAGTCGTAACACATACCCACCTCAGGCAGCAGTTTTCAGAGGCCCACAATTCTCCAATAGTGGTACTCAGAGTAAAAATTTAAGCCTTACTAAACCTCGCTAACTCGCGGGTAGGAGTAAGACAAAACTCGGTAAGGCTGAAAAAAAACTCGGTAAGGCTGAAAGAAACACAGCTGAGTCATACTCGGCACATATCGGCACGATGTTGGACATTGAAACGACACTTGTTCATGAAATGAGACTGTACATGACATAGACGAATTAACTAGTAAGAAAAAATATATACCGAGTCGTGAGGTCTACATCTGTGACGGGTGAAGGTGTGTGCTGTATGGTAAAAAATCCCCTGCTGTCATCATTGCGCACAGTACCGCCGAAATCGGGAAGATCCTCGTCACCATGAAATGGATTGGAGAAGGAGACGGCGAACTGTGAGAGTGCGAACTGTGAGAGTGGGTGGGGAATGCGCCAGGATGAGGAGGATGTGCACCCTGAGAGGGCTGGGCACCAGGATAGCGCTGATGAGAGGGATAAGGAGGGTATGCGCCCTGAGAGGGTTGGTCAAACTGCAAGAGCTCAGCGCAGTAGCTACATCTGCCGGATGGTACAGGGAAAGAGCCGGATGGGGCAGGCTGAGCACCGCTGCCCCCATACCCATACCCAATAGGGTAGGGCAGTGTGAGACGCCTGGAGACACAGATGGTGTTTGGGTCTGGGAAGGCGTCTTGTAGGGAGTGTTGGAGGCACTTGGAAGATTGGTGAGGGAAGAGCGCTGCGCATGAGATCCTCGGCAGCGCGAGACACCCAAAAACACAGATGGTGTTTGGGTCTGGGAAGGTGTCTCGTAGGGTCTAGGAAGGTGTCTTGGAGGGAGTGCCTGGCGTTTCGATGGAAGTTTGATCCATGGGATGGTGATGGGCTGGGCTTCCAGCGATAAGATCACAAGGTCTGAGAAGGACCAAGTACAGCGAGTTGAAACACCGGAGATTTCCGAGAAATTAAAACTCCGCCACAAACTGCGTCACATATGCGATCAGATAGGAGCATCGGAACCCTGTAATCCCCACCATGCCTCGTCAGTCAAAGCGTGCTCAGATGCTGCACGAGATTGATGTAGCTGCAGTTGCAGTAGCCACAGCCAAATACCAGCATATTGCAGAAGATAACGACTCTACTGCAGACTCAGACTCCATCTCTAGCCTCGAGTCTTTGGACCTTACACGTGACTCGGATCTCGACCTTTTCATGAACATCATGTTATCCCCTCCTTCGCCTCTTTCTCCAGTCTTATCCAGCTTCTCTGATGCTTCTTCTGATGACTCATCTGACTCGGATGATAGCATTGACCACGCCACTGCTCACTATGACTGCCTTCAAGATTCCATCGCAAGTCTCCGGGATGAGGTAGAGAGGGCACGTGTACTCCACAAGCCTGATGAACCTCTCCCGCGAGCCCCCCAGCTACACCTTCTTGTCCATTTCGGGGAACATCATCGCCCTCATTTATTTCGTCATAAACTACGCGTTGATCCAGAAATCTTTGATGACATCCTTGATCAGATTTCCGACCACCACATTTTTCATAACAATTCCAACAACGCCCAGCTCCCCGTGTCTATCCAACTTGCTATATTCCTCAACCGTGCTGGCCACTACGGTAATTCCATCAGTATCCAGGACGTGTCTGAATGGGCTGGTGTTAGTGTTGGGTCTGTGGTCAACTGTACCAATCGGGTAATGGTTGCACTGCTTGACCAGCATGATGCATTCATGGACTTCCCTCCGCCTAATTCACAAGACTTTGAGCTCGCTCGGCAATATACTGCACGGGTAACCACTTGCCCTGAGTGGCAGAATGGGGTTCTAGCTATCGACGGGACATCAATTGATCTGTATGAGACACCTGGGTTTTTCCACCAGGTTTTTTATGACAGGAAATCGAAATATTCCATGGGATGTCAGGTATGCCATTTTCTTAATTTTCTTATGGTTAAAAATTAAAATACATTCAAGGCAGTCATTATGCCCCACAATCTTCTCATAGTCGATTATTCTCTGGGTCACCCCGGAAGCGTCCATGATGCATATGCATTCAGATCTACTCATATCTATGAAGAACACAATGAACTTCTTCCAGCTGGCCATTGGGTCTGGGCAGATAGTGCTTATCCACTTGACACTTGGTGTATTGTCCCATTCAAGAAGCCCCATAATGGATGGCTGACAAAAAATCAGAGGACATTCAATTACCACCTTTCTACAGTTTGTCCCTTTATTTTTCCTATTTTTCCTGATTTACAATTCATTTATCTAGGTCCATGTACGAGTCGAACATGCATTTGCTGCATTGAAAGGGCGGTTTCAATCTCTTTGAGAACTCCGACAGAACATCAATTCAGCAGATGACTTGCGGGCAGCCGTCCATTGGATCCAGTGTTGTCTAATCCTACACAACATGATTATATGGTTTGAACAAAACCGTGCTTTGACAGAGGACAGGGGATCAGTGAGATGGGCTTATCAAGAGGCCAGAAACTTTATGCCTCAAGAGGCAGCTGAAGGACCAGATGGTAATGAACAAGTAGGTGATAGATTATATGAAGGGTCTCCAGGCCATGCTCGTCGTGAGAGGTTGATGGATGAGTTGTTTGACAGCCCTCATTCAAAGGCACAACGTAGACAAGGTTAGAGCTGTAGTCACAAATCTCCCCTTAAATGTTTTGTATGATTAGAAGACAACAAATGATCCATTGACAATCTACTAGTACACGAGCCAACAGCATAGCATGAGTAGCATGAGTAGCATGAGTAGCATGAGGTATGGTTAACATAAGGGTAGTGTAAAACATCAAGGGACAGTACAAAAACATACAGCGAATAGTACAACAAGACATCTTCAAGAACTATTGGACAAACAGCACAACTCAATCTTCAGCCGCAAAGTCACCGCCTCCTCAGCATGTGCATTCGCCGATGCGACGTGGGCCTTCTCCTCTGCTTCACGGAGGCGGATATCCTTATCCTTGGCCTCCTGTGAGCGCTGATGAGCAGCGGCGGCCTCCCTGTCAATATGTGTGCGCTCCTTGCGCATGAATCTATGCTCGTTTACCTGGCGTGCAAGGTCATATTTCACCATATGGTGCTCGTTCTTGAGCTCCTCCCGAGTGACGCGGTCCGACTGAATGCTCTCAATGTCGTTGTTGAGCTTGTTGAGGTTGTCCTGCCTCCCCTTTCCCTTGGAGAATGAGAGCGATGTTGGGGACGTGGATACAGGTGCCAACGACATCGACACGGTCCTAGAGTGCGAAGATTTGCTGGAGGAGGTTTTACGTCTTGTTGATGTGTCGAAGGCGGCATGACTATTGTGGTCAGATGTTTGCGATTTCGGTGGGAGCATGAATGCTGGCTGGGGTGGGGGAGAGGGAGACAATGATAGAGACGACTGATGGAGGCGACATTTGGTTCTGGGCTTGGGGGGGCTGTTGAGATTCGTGACACCAGGCTGCTCCCAATAATTCTGTGCAGGGGGCTGCGGCTGTGGGATGTCTGGGATGTCCATGTCCATGTCGTCATCGTGTCCGCTAGCGTAGCCATTGTTGTCGTGATATGGTTGAGAGTCGGAGGGGGGAGCGTGATATGGTTGCGACTGGGAGGGGGGAGCGTGATATGGTTGCGACTGGGAGGGGGGAGCATGATATGGTTGTGACTCGGAGGGGGGAGCGTGATATGGTTGCGACTGGGAGGGGGGAGCGTGATATGGTTGAGCCTCGGAGGGGGGGAGCGGATATGGTTGAGCCTCGGAGGGGGGGAGCATGATATGGTTGAGCCTCGGAGGGGGGAGGTGCATGAGAGTAGTTGGGGAATGCGCCAGGATGAGAGGGATAAGGAGGATATGCGCCCTGGGAGGACTGACCGCCAGAAGGCTGATGATACTGGGGGTGCTCAGTGCCTGGGGAGGACTGACCACCAGAAGGTTGATGATACTGCAGGCGCTCAGCGCCAGGGGGGTAGCCAAATTGGTGGCCCTCAGCACTGGGGGCATGGCCCATCTGAGGGAGCTGCAAGCTCGAGGTTTCAAGGCGAGAGCTGGGGGGTGTAGGCTGAAAGCCAGAGGGGGCAGGTTGAGGGCCAGAGGGTGCAAGATCAGTGCTCCCCAAATGGGAGCTTGAAGTCCGCGCACCTCGAGCTGTTTGCGTGATTGAGTAAAAATTGGCTGCATGATCTGTTCCAGGGCGTGAGGAGACGGTCTTCAAGGACAATGCTGGGTTTGTCCCCATGAGAGCAAAAAGCTCATCATACCAAGGGAATGACTGCAGGATTTGCACTGTACCTTTTGTTAGTTTAATCTTGTTAAATAGACGGAAAAAAATGTACCGTGCAGATTTTGGGCAGAGTTTTCGTCATTTGGCATGACACCGGCACCCGTCGAGTGTAATTTGTTGTAGTTGTCGCGATACTTCTTCCCTAGGCTTTAGAGAGAATGTTAGTACACATGAGAATGAATGTGAAATCTTGCACTTTGTGATATGATTGTTGGTGGAGTCACAAAATTTGTTTGGCACATCGACGTAATGGAGCGCATAGACAGGATCAGCCTCAAAAACATGCTTGGCGATTACAGAACAGACTGAGAGCTTATCCTTGCCTGAGGGGCCATCATCCTCAGTATGTGATTGTGATTGTTTGCTGTCAGAGTAGAACATAATCCGGCAGTCTGCAGGATGGGTACGGAGGTAGTTGATAAGCCTTTGGGTGCGGGATGGGTCGGCATTCCATTGGATGGTAAACTTCGGGGTGATATGATCTTGGGTGCTAGCGCTACCTCATGAGCCTCGCGATTTACCTCGTCCGCGGGTGACAGGTCCTTGGGAGTTGGTAGGGTCCATAGTTTGGGTGGATTTTTCAGGTTTTGAGGGCCTCTGCAAGCACTTCAGGCGTGCAGAGCGACGAGGACGTGGTGGTCGGAGAGCAGGCATAATATTTGAAGTCCGCCATGGTGCCGAGCGTGCCGCATGGCTTATGCGTGTCATACTGGCTGTTCTTGCATGGCCTTACCGAGTTTTGTCTTACTCTTACCCGCGAGTTAGCGAGGATTAGTAAGGCTTAAATTTTTACTCTGAGTACCACTAATGTAATTTAGGATCTGTTCTAAAAATAATATCATACCTTGTTGCCCTCCTGCCGGGCTGCTCACATACTTCACCTCCAGGATGCCTGGATACCTCATGCTGTCCTTGAGCACTGAGGACCTCTCTATGTCAACATAGATTTTCCCGTACTATATATGTACTTTGATTAGGAAATAGGATTGTGCAAAAGTGACTTTCTACCTGAAGTCCTCTATACTATTTACCCTGCTCTGTTCTCCTGCTGCAAGACCTTGTCATGTCACTGACTTCACGTGCAGAGACACGTGCAGCTCAACTTACTTCCTCTGGGCTGGGCATCCACTATTCCAGTCCACGGAAACCCAGAGACAAACGAAAAACTCAGGTGATAGTGGAATTGCTGGTGTTACAGTAACATGGAGCCCCTATCTTTTTTCTAACCCTTCACCTCGTCACACCTTCACCTCTTCACGATTCACCATGCTGCTTGACGCACTCCTGATCCCCGCCAACCCTGACCTTCTGTGACAGAAGCTAGATGCTTCCTTCAGAACCCTTGATCCATTGCCTCGTGGCCCTACTTCCTTTTCCCTTGATGTTCCCACAGGACCCTATCCCTGACCGCATGAACTCCTACCTGCTCATGCCTACCCGATATATCCTTTCTTGACCATTGTACAATTACCAGACCTGCCCTGAACACTGTGATCTTTACCTATATATAGTCGATCCACCTGTACTATTATTCCTTAACTTGATTCTACTGGGTTTTACCTTGACTTGTATATTCTCTTGAGTTAACTCTCTTGAGTCTGATCATGAACTCTCTATACTCTTGGATCGCTATCCTTGAGTCCGATACATCTTCTCTTAGACCGTTTGTCTTTGAGTCGATACCAATCTCTCGTCTAGACTTAACCGTCGAACACGAAACCCTTCTTCGGCCTCTGCCTTAGAAGCTTACCTCCCCTTCTGTTCTGTCACAACCTGACGGCTTAGGCTACCAGGTATATTGACGTTCAACCGATACACGACACGATAGCTTAGGACCGTCGTCCTTCGCTTACCCATCCCAGTCCGACTACGACCGTTGTCGTAACAGCTGGGCCAGAAGGCCAAACAGCACAAGCTACTTGCTAAGATGGCCAGTCTAATGGATACTTCATCCGTCCAAGAAGAGAAACATGCAGAAACTGTCGCCCTCGAGCCAGACACTGAGTCTGCTGATGCTTGGGAAGACATGGTTCAAGATAACGACGCACTTCCAGTCACTGAATCTACTGACAACTGTCCTCTGTGTTCACAACCCACACCAAGCCGTCGCACACAACCTGATCTTACGTCTACTCGTTTGTATGACAGTTGGAAGTCCCTTATTCCCACTCTTGTCATGGTACTGCTTGAGTGCACTGCACGGTGTGAGAAAGTAAACCTGAGTAGTCTGCAGAAGGAGACTACTGATCTGGATGAGTGCAAGTGTGTTTGCTCGTCCCAAGGGGATTGCTTCTGAAGGATACTCTCTGCGATAAAGCGAAGGAATCAAGCTGACGGGCTTATGATCTATATGATCCGCTACGGATGCAGAACAGGTAGACTAGATGCGGACGGGACTCGGTGCAAGAAATGATAGTCCTGGGGCGGATAGCCTAGTGGTACGGCTACGGATCTACGAGGTGTCGAGGTATCAAGGTGTCAAGGTCTCGAGGTCTCGATGTAACAAGCTACCAGTAGTAAACCGCGGAACTGCTAAGGAGCACAAGTACAAAAGAGTGAGAGCGCAAGGTTCCGTGTTGAGATCCATGTAGAGGAAGACTAAGGGGACTTTAGATCACACGAACTTAGACACGGAGTCCAAGGGAGTAGAAAGAAGTATATTGCCAGAGATCTAGTGCAACTATTTAACATGGTCCGTAAGAACTCGGGACATCCTAAGCGCAACAGTAAGTACAGGCGAGTCCGCAGCGGATTAGTATATAAATGATGACAAGCGGCCTCATGTATGGGAACGCATATGTAATACAGACTGAGGATGATCAGGATGACAGAAGAAGATAAATGACGCACCAATGGGGATAGACAGGCATGGATAGGACATGGATGGATGGAACCCGAGAGATCCTGGTGATATCCGCTATGGAAGGTGTATCTGCCAGGTGTACAATGGGATGGATACCGACAGATGCAAGTGGATGGCCACGGAAATGGTATCTGACCAGATGAGCACCAAATTATGGATAATAATCCATTGTGAGGCCACAAAACAGATGGTTCCTACAACAGACACTGGGAGCTCCTCTCCAAAGAACACCCCTGGCCTTATCTTTGTGCCGCTCCCATACATGCGCACAAAAGTGCTCGTCCATTGTTTGTCTTTTCTTTGACCGTAAGTACTCGTGTATACAGCGTGTTTAATTAAATAATCTAATTGCCGTCAGATTTTGTTTCCATTGAGGTCTTGAGCTGTAGATGCGCTACACAAGCTCAAGTCCTTGTTTTTCATGGCTTATTCCCACCGTCTCCCTCACAGCCTTGCATGGCAGTGTCTGTCGAGTTACTTGCCTTTTATCGAACCCTTTTTGAGTGCTCTTGCGATGCTGTTAATGCGCTTGCATCTGCTCTGCACACTCACTACGTACAATGAGGATTTCACATCACGAACACCAAGGTAAGGAACCTATCTAACCTGCATATCAACTACTCATCTCAATGCTGTAGGGCAAGGTTATCCATGAACCCTTCCGACAAAGCCTTGGTCAAGCAATTTAATGGTTTGACCTTCTACAAGTAGAAGTCGAACATCGAGTCGAAGGTGCCCTATCAGCATGTTGGGATTGTGTAGAGGCTGAATGTTCGGGGTCTCGGAGTGCTTCAACCTCTGGGGCCACTGCACCAGAACCACTGAGCGAAAGTGGATCCCGTGTAGCCTGTTGGAGTAGACTACCAATCCGTATGAGTGTGAGTATAATAGCTCGTCCCAAGGGGATTGCTACTGAAGGAAGTCTTCACAATAAATGTGAAGGAATCAATCTGACGGGCTTAAGATCTGTGCGGCATATGCGCGAAAGGGAGTCTGATGTAAGAAGGAGAATGTCCAGATGGAAGACGGTTCTGATGGAACAGATATCTAGCGGTATGACTGTCAAGGTGCCGAGTACATGTTAGACTCCCACCTCGAAAGATACACACCTCACTAGCATATTCATCAAGTCATCTCACCTCAAGTAGAATTGCGCGCCTAAAATGGCCGGCAGGAACGGCGGACTGGTGGGGCACGTCCCACACCAGGGCATCTGCGAATTCTGAGATGCAAATTAGGGCACCGGGGGCCCTTAGTATTAGCAAGTACTGTCCTACATAGAGTCTACTCTGAATGGACATAAATTGGATATAAAAATAAATAAATAAATAAAAAAAAGACTGTCAAGGTATTGAGGTGGCAAGGTTTCAAGGTCTTGGGGTAACGAGCTACCGGAAGTGATCTGTGGAATGGAATGAGGTCCGTTGCGATGTGGAAGACTAAGGGGACTTTTTGATCACACAGACTCAGATATAAAATCCAAGGGAGTAAAAGGAAGTGATATTGTCAGAATACGATGCAACTATTTATCATGATCTGTAAGAACTCGGAACCCTCTAAGTGGCAGTAGTACAGGCGAGTCCGTAGCGCAGTAATATGTAAAGGACGGTAAGCGGCCTCATGTATGGGAATGTACATGTAATACAGACTGTGGTTGATCAGAGTGACAAAAAGAGACAAATGACGCACCAATGGGGATGGATGCACATGGATGGACAGGGACCAAGGGCAAATGAGGGTATCTGTTACGGGTTGCACATCTATTAGGTGTCCGGAAGGGACAGATGTTGACAGAGGAGGACAGATGAGTATGGACATGAATACCTGACCAGGTGAGCTCCAGATCATGCTTAAAGGGCGATTGTGAGGCTAGCATCGGAATGTTCGGTGCACCGCTCATCCCACACGAGTGTTGTGCCTCTGTCTTGTCCTGCATGCTTTGGAGGGTTAGCATTCGGTGTGGGGACAACAAATCTGCTGAGTAGCAGAAGGTGTTGGGTCTTGCTGCCTAGCTGCTATGTCTTGAGAGACAATGTAAGACCCAGGCTTTCTTGACTAGGGAGTGCTCAAGCAGGGAGAGAGAGAGAGAGAGAGTGTGTGTGTGTGTGTGTGTGAGAGAGAGAGAGAGGGAGGGTGTCACTCCAGACAATGAGGCTAGAACTTGGTATCAGGAGCAAACTAGTGAGCTAAGAAGCTACAACCAGAGAAGCTACAAACTGGGGAAGCTACTACTTAACCCTAGAAGGGGAGCTACCAGAATATGAACTGAATACTGCTAATGAGTGGAAGTGTAGGGCGAAGATTTGATGATTAGGTAAGCAGTCAAATGCCAACATAAACAAAGGAAAGGGGTAAGTGAAGCTAGGTAGAAACTGTCAATACAAGGCCACAGGGAACTAGTTCCCTACATCGGTCAGGACCTGAGTGAAGGAAGTGACATACATGTTTCAACTGATGGAAATTTCCATCACTGGCATTGACAATCAGCTGGTGATTCACCACACTTCTACAATACCTTGTATTTCCTTTCAAAAGCTCAAGTCGATGCTATTGGTCATCATATCCTCCGAAGTCGCAAATCTCTGCCTAGACCGCACAAGTCCTCAGTACCCCACGAGGCAATTGACCAATGTGAGAGTTCTTATGAAGCCGCCAATGGCAAGAAGCAGAAGTCTTTGATGGACAGCTTCAATGACGCCAAAGTTATGGTGCTCACATGCCATCACAATGTTCCTCTCTTCCTTGCCAACATCGACACTCCTGGCGAGCAGCAAAACATTCGGTCGCCTTGATTGATCATCTTTTTTCACTATTACCTCCGAGAGCAACTGTTGTCACACTGTATGATGTTGGGTGCATCTTGTCGTGATCATTAGATCAGGTGAGTCAATTCATGCCTTGGAGCCCAGATTCACATTTATTCTACTAGTATGACATCCTACCGCCAACTATCACAAAGTGCTTGCGTTTTGCCATGACAGCCATGCACACATATGGCCACAAATGGGCCTGCCAACTCGAATACAATCCTCGAATGTGTCACGGCCTTGGCCTGTCAGATGGCGAAGGGACCGAAAGGTTGTGGTCGAGACTTGTTCAGCTGATAGGAATACAGTGTTCCTCAGTAAGTTCTTTAACGACACACCAACATATTTTCTGACAGCCTGTCCCAGCGTCAGTGTCGACCGTGGTTACTTGATCGACAACTAGCTGCTATTAGACTGGAGATGCGCACTGATTTGGGAGATTGGATCAAGTGCTGGCTTAAACATGGGATTGAGGAGCAAGGCACAGCGGTGCAGAGTGTGCTTGAGGAATGTGGGGTGTCCATTGATGAGCTGCGCAACAAATGGACCTCCCAGAGAAAATCCCAGTTATCTATTCATGCTCGTACGTACCTTCCATTATCATCCCAGCCCTCCCAGCCCTCTCAAGCCAAGCATCACTGACCTCTTGCTGTAGATGCACCTACACGCTTTAAGAGAGAGCTAGATACTGTTCTTTCTTTGCAAGCAGATCTAGATGCCTCGGAAAAGGCACTGCAGGCAACACGAGAGACAATGACCAAAGCTGATGCTGCAAATGACACACTTGAGGCACTCGATAGCCTCAAATGGGGTCATCAACGTCTCATGGCCAAGGTTGAGGTGTTATTTGCATCGCTCAATGTTCATGATCAGTTTCCGGAGTTGAAAGGCATGAACCTCGACTTTGTTCGGAGACTGCTTTTAGCACGGGACATCAAGATCAATATTTGAAAACATGCTATTGGGAGTTTCTTTGAGTGGGATAAATTGAATCGTGCAGTGGGTGGCGCACAACAGGCACTGGGTAGGTGGCATTAGTGATACTTCTACTTGACGACATTAATAAACTTTGGTAGGCACCAAACTTCATCAACAGAATCGCAAGGCAATCTCGAAGCATCAACCGGCCTTGTTGACTGCACTCCGTAAGTTTAATGCATATTGTGAGCACCTCGAGGAGCTCTATGACCCAACCTACGGCATCCCACTTCCAACACCACTTCCAACCAAGCTCATCAAACTATGCAATGATCAATCTTTGTTGGAGGATGTATGGATAAGCCCTTTGACAGGTGATATTCCTCGTTGGCTGGAGGACCAAGATGTTCGCGACGGAATTTGTGCAATGTTGAAGAGAGATAGATGTATAGAAGAGCAACGGTGTCTTGGGCTGGAGGCGGATAATCTCTGCAGGTGGTTTGGTGATAAGCTCGCTGCAATAGAGCTTGCCCTTTTGACACCTGGTAGTAAGTAATGTCCCTCAACTATGTCCTTTTGTCCTCTCACAGTGAATTACAGATAAAATGTTCTTTATACCACTTCACCAGCGGCTGGAGCATCTTCAATATATTCAAACCCGTTGGACGACCTCACTTGCATCTGCAGCGCGATTTGCATCTTGTGCAACAGATGCTGTATCCCTGGCTCAAAAGCTCTTGGGAACCTCTGGAGGGTGTCCACTTCAATGGATCAATGGATTTGCTCACTTGTACATTGTACCTACCGAGGATGACGAGCTTGAAGTACCCTCTGAAACCAATCACAATGTTTTGCTACCTGAAGATGTCGTCCTGGTGGACATTCTGACTGCAGGAGTCGCTGGCGGTGAAGAAGAAGATACTGAAGCCATCACAATAGATGCTGAGCTTCACTGGTGATCCCCTGAGGTGGCTTCTCTTTCTTCTGTTCACACTATAATCTATGCTCACAAGTTTGCTAGAACATTACACTTGATCTAACACCTTTACCAGAAGTGGGCATCATCATTCCAGGGACCATCAAGACACGAGAATGGGCTCCTCGCCATGGATGTCCTTGCCAAATTTTTGAGTCGAAGGATATTGTGCTTCTCGCTTCTCCGACTGTGCTGCTCAGCGACAGTTGCATCAATGGATGTATGGTGCTTCTTTACTCAGAAGTAGTGCAGCTTTCTCCCACAGTCAAACAGTATGCTCTCTTTTCCACCCATGACCTCCCATGCATCAATATTTTGTGGCGGAACATGTTGTAGACATGTTACTGGGTAAAAGAGGTTTGGATCCTTCCCATCCATAGACCTTCAAATGTTGGCCACTGGGTTCTATGTGTTGTTCACCTCCGAAGCAAGGAGCTCCATCTATTTGACAGCTTTGCTGAGCGGAAGCCTTGGAAAAGTGATATTAAGGTTTTTGCGCTTCACCTTATTCGTATTTAGTATGACACAATTCACCCAGGACATCATGAAACTGATTGCTTGTCTTTTGAGCATCACTCAACAACACAATCACACTGTTTGTGTTGACATGGACTTGGACGAATTGGTTGCACGTCCTTTGATGGTAAGTATTGTTGCAACCTCGATGGTGTGAGAGGCCGTCTCATCTTATACATTGTCAGACCGAAGCAGTCCAGACAAATGGTTTTGATTATGGTGTCTGGGTGCTTGCTGTGATTGCGGTGATACTACGTGGGTGCCACTACACGGCTCTTGGAGAGCAAGACATGTCTGTTTTTCTTTATTATCTACAAACACTCGTACTTCGGATTCCAGTACTCTAGCTAGCTAATACTACTGTCTAATGTATATGGATTCAATCCCACGATCATTAGCTGCATTTCATTACTATCTTCGTACACTTATAGTATCAATCCCTGCATTCTGATCGTGTACCTAAATGTATAGATCAAGTCCGCTCAATATCTTCTGAACCTTGGTGTGATAGAGATAAATCCTGCATGCACACCATTGCAAGAGACATTGGGCCATCTTGATGTGTCTATCGCAGTCCCTTGCATCAGATATATAGTCTTGCAATATGTACCACTGTCCCAGCAGCACACCAATAGCGTGTTTCAACTCTGTACAAAGATCTGGCCCTCCTGCATTGTACTTCCATGCATGTTGTTGTAGCTGCTCCTTCTCTAAGTGTGAGTTATGGCCATGCATGACCTGCACAAGGTTTTCTGTGAATTGAACCACTGCTGGAGTGTTGGATGGATGAGGTATAGCGTAGGGTAGATTACTGTCCCATTGTGGGAGCTCCGATTCATCCAGATTATCTGCACTTTGAGAAGCGCAATAAAATGGATCACTGTCTGGAAGGGATGTGGTTGCAAGATTGATGAGAGCTTGAGGCAAGGGTGGAAGCTGAGATGATACTAGGGATGGCTTTGATGAGCCTTTGCGGCTGTGTGCTTTGGCATAGTTCTGTGAACATCAAAGTCGGCGAGCAGCTATTCCCCTACTGACAATAATGTTGAGATCAAGAATGATGACTATGTACTGTACTATAATGATGTACCTCTCAGACTGTGTGTAGTCCATCTTCTGTTTGTGCAATGCAGCAGTTTTCTCTGTGAGGGTGAGGTACTTAGCTTTTCAACCCATAAAGACAGTAGAGAGACACAAAGAGTGTATTGGAAGTACATACAATTAGTGTAGTTATTCAAACGGTTGAGTCTACTTGGCTCAAATACTGGGAGATCTTGGTACCAATAGAACAGGCAAACACTGAGGAATTCAAAAATCATTATCCGCAAAGTCTGCATGAAAACAAAAGTGTTTGGGACATGTTTTCCATTAGTCACAAACTGTATCTAAACACTTATTGGCTGATTAAATGCGGCAACCTTATGTCAAACCTCCTGCGCCCCCAAGTGCTCCAGCGCCTCACAGTACTTGATCAAGCTCTCTATGATGAGAAGCTTGTCTGGCAATGAATTGTTGAGCCGAGCACTATAGTCTTAGATCTCATATTATATCAAAATAAACTTTGGTTCATAGTTGCTACACTAGATACACACAAGACAGTACATCATATCCTCACAGCAACACCAGCCTCAATTGCAGACTTGACAACATCAATCCCGTCATCCACGGAGGCCACTTTCGCAAAGAGAGTGCGACTGACACCTTGGACCCATGGACCAGCATTGTTCCTGCCAGTGGTCAATTAGTAAGCCAAGCTCACCGTCCAAGGGATTCAACAAACATACCATCCGTAGAACATCCTGACTTTTGGCCCCTCGTGATATAGTAGATGGTCACCCCAGGTTTATTGTCCACAGGGACATTAAAGTACACACTCATGTGCACATTGAGGATACTGCCTGCAGCAACAGCTGCATCCACTTCAGCATAGCCGTCCGCTGCATCTACTGCAACAGTGACCATGTTAGTAGGCACAGCGTCAGCGTTGGTAGGCAAGCTCCCTTCGGTGGTAGGCAAGCTTCCTTCAATGGTAGGCAAGCTCCCTTCAATGGTAGATTTGTGCTCCTCATCACTGCTGATGGAAGACTCCGTCTGCGAATCTATGGCATGTGAAGCATCACCTCCATCGGGGTTTTCAGAGAGAAGGTTCAAGGCTAGATTGGCACGTTCGGTGGAGGAAAGCTGAAGCGTTGACAACAACATCATGAGAGCCTCTAGTAGAATTGAATTTGGTTAGTACTGGAAGATGGATGTAGACTTAGGGGTGTACCTAATGTGTCCTTGGTTCCAGTGGAAATCTCCACACGAACTGAGAATATAGTTGATGGTTTGAAGTGATACTTGTGTGAACAAAGTTATGAGGTATGGATACATGGATTAAGACACTCACCTTTATCCATCCAGACTATACACGGCCTGGAGAATCATGAGCCTTGAGTGTGGAATTGCACAGGGTTAGTCATTATTGGATGAGGCACATTGAGTCTCCAACACAACAAACACAAACACAAACACAAACTCTTGCCTTCTCACACTGATTTGCCAACAGTCTTCATTTGTATGCCGGACAAATGCCTGACATTGTTCCAATCACAGGTAAGTACTCAGTATTACACCTCCAGTAAGTCCAATCTGATGCATGTCCCAGTCCCCAGTAGGTTCAATAATCTGCAAGCATTACGCCAGTCTGGCGGAGCTCCTACTTCACCACCTGTTTTGTTCCCCACAGCAAAAAGCATTTGATGTGCTAGCGTCTGGTATAAGCAATAAGTTGGTACCAGAAGCAGAAGCTCGAGGACTCACCACACAATGTTTGGCAAGTGCTTTGCATAGTTCCGTGCCCATCGCAAACATAATTGGGACATCCTTTTCCATGTCAAAATCAGGCCAGAGGTACTCCTCAAGTATTTCGTTAATGAATAGGTCCGTTTCGAGAAACCCTGGCTTATGCTTCCTGTACTCGGGAATTTTTTCACGCTTTTGAATCACTATGATTGAAACCTCATTCAAATTCATTCATGTCAAGTCCCCAACTCCAATTACTCACCCTCCTGTGTCCTGGTCCCCAGACATATCCCCTACTACTGCATTCAATGTTATTGTAGTGTGTAGACTATGAATGTGTAGACTACTAGAAGTTCCAAGTTTGCATTTAGAGGTCTGCATCATAATTAGAATATATATTTGCTGTGTATCGTTATGCTAAGGAAACTACATACCTGGTGAAAATCAATGTGCTGAGGTGGTCTTGTATTTGGATCAACTTGAACTTGTCTAGTCTGTAGTTGATGTCAGTGTAGTATCAGATGATAGCGTACACTATGATGCCACCTTGCCTAGACCAACTCATTCATAACTAACTTTCTTGATGTGCTTTTTAAGGCCCTCAATAGTTTTGTAGGTTGTATTAGTGCCTGGACAACAGGTGTCAGAGCAGTAGCATAAAAAGAAACCTTCAGCATCTTTGGCACCATTTGTACTTGCAGATGAGCTCAGGTGGCCTTCAGTTCTTCACTCCTTATCTTCTTCTAGGAACTGAAATTCAATGAATATAGTGAAAGACTTGATTGAAGAAAAAAAAATTCATGTAATTCTGACTGCAAAGATGATCTGGTCAGTGTCATCAATCCCGATATGAATGCCTGGCTTAGAAATACAAGTGGTCAGCAATTTCTGGAAGTTAGTGTCATTGAAACTGAGGGGGCATTTATATTTTATTTAATTTATTAAGCAGTGGTAAGAGTGTCCATGAATTTCTTGACACAATGAATTTTAACTTTATCGCCTGCATAGATGATGTCCCTCAAAGCCTGCCATGAGATCAAAATGTTGGTAATGATAAATATGAAGTATTATACACCTTTTCTATGCTCATTTTTTGTCTGTCAGCTTTCTTTCTCTATTTCATCTCCTTTTTCTGGGCTTTATGCCTCTTCTTTTTCTGAAAATAAATTATTTATCAAAGGGTAAGCAGCAGCGGTTGTCAACAACTCACATATGATTTTTTGAATAGTTCCTGCAGCACCTGCTTCATATCCTTTATCTCAACAGAAGATATATCCAAAGGTATTATGGACTGAGTATACTCTTTCATGTCAGAGGCCAGAATGAGCTGATAATCATTACATCTAAGATCTCATATTACAACATACCAGTGATCCCAAGAAGTGAAGAGAAAGCAGCAGCACAAGCATTCTATCAATATTGCACATTGAATTCACCATATTCAATTTCAAAGCTTCAAATTTACTCACTACTTCATCCATGTTCAATGTGTTGTGATTGTACAGTGCATAAATCTAGTCAGCAGGAGTCATGAAAACTATATAATATGTGGTTACGCTGTTGAATTTCTATCAAATTAACTGAGGATCTACATTTGCAGCTATCTAACACTACATGTACAGTCCATCAACCTGCTGCCTGTCCGTGCATAGTAAGACAAAGTTCTAGATGAACAAAGTCTAGGAATGATGTCAAATACTGAAAAATATAAGGCCTATCTAAGGCTTCAAGAAGAATTAGACATATAATGTGAGAAGTAGTATGTTTTTTAGTATGTTTTTTTTCATTGAGGTTTTCAGCAGAGCAGCAATGAAGATTAAAACTAAGTTGTATCACTTGACTCTTTGCATAGTGCTTAACATACTGAGAAGTAATATAAGTGCAATTTGTAAATAGAGATATATAGATTATATTAACAATTATCAGGTTGACAACTATCTGGCTATAGGATATTTGTTTTATCAATTCTTGCTTTAAGTGTAGTCTATAAAAAGAATTATATCTATTAGAGTATAACAAGAATTTCAACACTCATAGGTTTATACTCTTGCCTTGCTGCACATCACCAAGTGTTTGCCTGTCCACATCCTGAACATTAAAATGGCAAATACTGCCCCCAAGGATGATTGTCAATATTCACCCAGCTAAATCTTACAACTGTTAGCGATTCTAAGGCCCTGTTCTTCAGCATTAAGATAATATCTGTGTAGCATCCAAGTCTGTTAGATTGGCCAAGCATATGAAGAAATGTGATGCTGATTTTCCATTGTTCCATGAGTATGAGCTCTGTGAATGCAAGGAGCAGATGAGAAGTGAAACTAGGCTGGAATCAAGCTGTGATGAAGATGATGGCTATGGAGATTGTATTACTGAGCTATGATAAGTCTGAATTCTAGATGAAAAATTAATCTTAAATTTTTTATGCTGGCCATATTTTGTATTTAGATGGTTGTAAATAACAGAACCAGTGTTTTGAAAAGTGATGCTAGATGAACATATTATTAACATTGAGAAGCTATTATCATCTGAAATGATATTGACTGTGCAGTCTATAATTAGAGTAGCAGTGGTAGTTACTAAGGATGCCCAATCACTAAAATACAGTACCAGAAACATCCTGGCACTGGCTGTGTAAAATTTAATATGCTAAGAAAATATTGTGGGAGAAATTGCTAGATAAAAGCATACTCCTTTATCTTGGTATATGAAGCTTTAAGAGCAATACTAGTTATTGGCTACAGGGCTCCAGTAGCAATTCTACTCATAATAGACAATTATTTCTCCTATCAACCAACTATTGCCCGCCTTCTGCTTCATCTTCTGGAAATATAAGATCAGACAGATAAATGAAAGATTCTGATACCTCAGAAGAGATAAGACATGTCGGTGTCAATGAAAAACAAGTTCAAAGAGATCCTGACTCTACCCTGGATGCTGTATCTCAGATTTTGTCTTTGACTCAAATAGATGAATTATCCAATGTTTCTCCGTCCAACACTAATGACATGTCAAACCTTGGAAGTACTGTTAATACACATATTGAAGAAGCGAACAAAGAACAGGCAGCTCCAAGAGATTAAGGGGAAGAAATTATGTTTGACGATGAGTACCTTCTTGATCCCTTTCACGATGATGCTCAAACTTTCGACTCTTCCCTTGAGGACATCTTCAACAAAATGTTATAGTTAACAGTTATCTCTCGTTTGTACATCAATGGAGCATTTTGTGAAGCCAAAACAAATGCTGTGATGAGCAAATCATGTTTCCTATAATATAATGCTATGTCTACTCAGTGACAGCACTCACATGTGGGGCTGAAGGCCTCACAGTGGATGTTAATCTTGTGTCAGAGTATCGTAAATTTTATGAATGATGTCTGGGATCTTTTGCACCATTGTGAGGATTAAACCTCTCCCACCAACGTACTTGAAGCACAGATAACTAACATTCACAATTGTGTAACTAACTGATTGACATTACATCTGAGATTGTGAACACTAGGAGAAACAAATTACAAATATGTATGTCAACATTGCTAGTAAAGATGTGCATGAGATTAAACAAGGATAATTGAAATTGTATCATGCTCTGATGCTGACCTCACGTTTCTGCTCATCAGTAAGTGGCTACTCATACCACACCCGTCCAAAGTTCTGAACAGCAGCCGCATGGATCCATGTCGGACAGACAATGTTCTTCTGCATATGATTGCCCTGCAGACATGTATACTTGATGTTTAATTGCAACCACTTGCTCCCATAAAACTGCCTTCCACAGCGATTGAATATGATGTTGTATGCAGGGCCCTGGCATGTCTCTTTCCAGCAACAGTAGGTGTCCAGGCCCCAGGGCCTCCCATTTTTGAGGTTCGAGTACGCCAGTACTCTACTATTGATTATGCATTGTCGAACATTGTTTTGGCCGACAAATGTGTCCGCAAACAAGATCATAATGGGCAACTGGTTAAGGGTGTGTCGGTCTTCCTGAATGATGCCTCGACTGCATGCCAGATCTTCATGTCTTATACATAGACATTTTTGATGAACCTATTCAACGCCAGCACCACCACCAAATCCATTGTTGATACCCCCGCAAAGGTCAGTACGAAGTCAAATATATCACTATGAGGATTTTGCATCAGTCCAGCAAGCTGATAGAGCCAATGACTTCATGATACATACTGTTCAACAAGGTGTTTCAACGACATAATGCTCTTATGCACACATCCTGTAGGTCCACATGCAGATATGACGAGCCTGCGAATGCGTGGCCTGACTGGCGAGGTCTTGTTTAGATGAGCAGCTTTTTTTGGTGATAGTAAGCAGTTTATTTCCACCATAAGTTCTCTTAGTAAAAGACATTAGTGTTCCCCTGATCTCAGTACCTGGGTCTGATGTTCCATCTACTTTTCTTGAGATGATCCCTACTTTTCTACTGTAAGTGGTGCTCTTTCTCAAGTCACTCTAATCCAACCCTTGTAGTTATAAACAACATAGTAACATAAGCATTAAGTGACTGTTTTATTCATGAATTCACTAGTGTCCTCAGTTTCTAAATTATAAGAGAATGATATTTTAACTTTAACACCTGTTAATTTATGTAAGACACACCAAAACTTTACATATTATTTTCTTGGTTTCTGTGTGGCAAAGGTTTTGTTCAGCATGTCCTGTCATAGTCATGAGATCATGGAAAGACTCTCTTTCACAATGGCTACAACTTTGGTTTTCATCAAATATTTTCCCACACTCAACAACTTCGCTGACGTGATAGAATTTCAGATAAGTTTCAAACGAGAATTCTTGATTAAAAATAGCTTTGCATCGGTGATATATTCACCGACGCAACTCAATTCAATGCCACAAATATCACAGGGTCAGTCGTATGGAATACGTCACAATGAACGACTGGTGAGGACTCTGACCTTCATTTTTCAGATGAATTCAAACGAGAACTCTCGATTGGGAATTGACCTCCGCTGACGTGATGTATTCACTGATGCAAAGCTGTGGTCAATTCAGTGACTCCGCGAATATAGGTAAGTTGTCACTGATTGATCATCCACGAGTTTGCCTTGAGTCGATTTATAAACTTCTGAAACAGGTCGCACTGGACTTCACCGATTCAATACTGATGTTGGGATCACGGCTTGAATTCTTTATTTGTTAGCATTTTCTTTATGACTCATTAGAATCTGAACCAATTGAAGTTTTGAGACTAGACTCCCCTTGACAGAGACTACAACTTAATTTTGATTCAAAACTTGATCCCTCTAGAAGAAGATACTACTATTATCTCCTGTTCCCCTGTGCCATCCCAGATGTGAGAAGACATATCTACACCTTGCTTGCCCCTCCCAGCAGTACCTTGCCCTACATGGATACCTAGTAAACAGATAGAATTTTTTCTCTCCCTCATGACTTAGATCTTAATAACTCTGATTACTAGGCAAGCTACAAACAAAATGTCAAACAACTGCTCAACAGACTGTACACCCATCACTTTTTGTTGATTGGAGGAAGCTTATAGCATTTAACTCTTCAGTTTGGTCTGGCTGACATTGTTGAATGTGCTCTTACAGGAGCATCCTTGGATGGGTTTTGTGATGATTAAGTAATACCAGCGGATGAAGCCATTTTCTTGAGCCACAGTCTTCAAGGATCAGAATCATGCTGACCCCCCTATGATCTTTTAGATGCATCTATTTATTGGGTGGATATCCATCTTTCTATCTAATGGTCTAGGTAACTAAAGGACTCGCACCGGTTCTGAGGTACTTTACAAAACATGATGGTGGGTCTCAGACTGGTTTTTTTTTTACTATTTATCAGTAATTATCTATCTACAGACACTTAGGGATGCTGTTCACTATTCATAGAACTAAAGGTAGAAGTATAGCAGAAGTTAATGATATGTGCCTAATTTTTTCTATCTTTTAAGTACTAACCTTACCTCCTATTATTTGGGAGGAATTATATTTTCTGATATGAGTACTCTGTCCAATAATGAACTGATAGCACTTAGATATAGAATCTCTTATAACATATTACTTTTTTATTTACTACATGAGCTTCAAAGTGGCTCATAGATCTTTATCTGCACATTCTATCCACATCTCAATCACTTCCAATTCGTGCTTCTCTTCATGTGCACTGTGATGCCTTCAACATCATATTCCAACATGAACTTGTCATAAGCCATTGTATTGAGCCTTTTGATCAATAAGAATTACCCTTCCTCCTTGGAAGCTTCCAGTCATCACCAGTGTCCATCATTCTCAAGTCAGTATAATTTAATAAATTTGATGTCATATAGAATTTCTCCTTTTTTTACTCCTGCTAACTTGTCATCCTCAACATTCTATTAACTCCATGGTGGATTTCAACAACTTCCCATGTATATGGGGTACTGTTGCAATTGTCTGGTGAATTCTCTATCATTCACCTCCTAGCTGCCACTTGTAACATGGCTGAAGCTTATCACACTATTCCTTTTCACCCATCTCAGTGGCTAGTCACTGTCATTTGACTGGATGTCAATATTTTCTATGACAATACATGTACCTCATTTGAAATGGGGCCCTTGGCAGGAGCCAGTAATGGAGTTGTGGTGGCAGTGTAAGTGTAGGTGGGGAAGATGTGGGAAATTTGAGTGCAGGTGTTATGCATAGTATCACATAATTCTAAATTTTCAACAAAGTTCTCCCAGACTTGAACACTGAGTTCGCAACATCTACATCAATATGGAACGAGAAGATAGTGGCGAAGCCAGTCAAGCCAAACATTACAAGCAATGTGGAGATAAGTGGGATATCAAATCGATAAAGGCAGTCATTGAAAATGATTTATGTACGTGGAACATTTAACAGTAAAGTTTAGACCCCTCTGGATCTATCTTTTATATTTAGATATCCACAAGATTAATGAATTCCCAACTGATTTCCTTGCAATCAAGCGGTCTGGAAAGACCATTCAGAAGATCATAAGACACAAATGCCATGCTACCAGTACACCTCAGCAACTCAATACACTTCCGTTGAATGGAAAAAACTCTTTTCATTAGGTCACCTCCTCTCCAACTCTATTCCCAATGATATTCCTTATGCCTCATCATGCACTTCAAGATAGACCACTATTGGAATCCCCTAAATTTTTACTACATGGCTATAGGTCTCTGTGTCTGTTGAGATTGCCTATTGGCCAGCAACACAAATCATCCCCTCAAACAGAAAGAAAATTGATTGTCCATAGATGCATTCCATTTTGGGACCTGGGAGGTCACTGGATCTGAGCTTTGGCTATTGAAGTAATTAATGACCTTTTGTATTATAACAAAACCTATATTACTCCAAAAATCACTTTTTTATTCAAGAAACATGCTCCAATCTAATAAAATGCAATTTTAGAGTGTGTCTTGTGCTTTTATGTCGAGTACGATTGACTTATTTAACTGTACTATAGTGAATGATTGCATGCAGAAAATCCTAGGACATAAATTCCAGGCTTGTCCAAGTCTCAATATAGGAGGGCCCTTCATTGCTGTTGCAGAAAAAGAGGCCAGATCAGAGTTGTTCCCATTGACTAGAATATCAGCCCTACCTAGACCAAACCCAGTCATACCACCATCTTCATTAGTACCACCAACAATATTGATACAGAAGAAAAATTCTGAACTCAAGATTGGAGCACCAAAAGAGCTGAATGGTGATGTAACCCAATCAACCAGATGGATGTGGAGCATAAAAGCTTATCACTACGCCAATCCTGATACCTATAATAATAAGAAAAAGAAAATCATCACTGCACTCACATATATAACAATAGGAACTGCTGCACTTTAGGCAGAAATCTACTATCTGTGTTCAGTAATTTCAACAGCTCCTTCCTTTGGAAGTTCTCACGACAGGCACTATTCAAAATCTCCACCACATGATCCTTTGCATCATGATCATATCTTGTGAGGGTCAGGTCCACTTGACTAATAGCAGACTTGCCCCATACCTCAAATATCCAGCTTTCAGCACCACCCTCCTGTATGAGACACTCGAGCATCTCCTCATCACCAGCAACTCTTTCAGTTTTGTATCAACCAACTGTAGGTCTGTGAACAAGGTTAGTGGGCGATCAGCAAGTGTTTTCCTTCACTTATTGGATCTTGAGGGCCCATATCAATGAAGAGAAAGTGGTTATGTTCACCCTTTTTGGTAGGATAATTACATGACACATATGAGTAGATAGTATTCTCTGGACTGTGTCAGGGTGTGCAAGAGTATAATACAAAGTACCAGATCGTGTAGATAGGTCTACGCTACTTGACAGTGACTCAGTTGAATGTATGCAGTGTGCTATATGTAGTTAGTGGTGCATAAGCATAATTGAGGACACAACACTTGCAGAGTTTGAAACTACCTTTGCTCTTGACTTCTACAATGAGTCATCCACATTTTCAAGTTGGCAGTGTCCGATTCCATCTCCTGGGCCACAGCTTCCAGAATGTATTTTCTTGCATTTTTTTGTCCTAGTACAGTTGCTGCTTCCCAGTGCTTGGATCTGGCTGATAAAAGCTATACATTGCTTACATAATTGAAGGAATTTTTGACCCAGTATTAGTATCAGACTAAAATCCACAGTTGAAAGTGGATAGCTGAGAATTGACTCCAGCAGTGGTCTGCCACCACAACTTTTGTTACGATAACATACTTCGGAACGGGCCTCCCCCTATCTTTTCTCCTATCATGTACTGCCATATGACGCCTTATCACCTTCTTGTACAGCATCCTTGATCGCCGTCTTATCTCGTATCCCTTATCTTGTACCCTGTACCCTTACCATTGCCTTGGTAGTCCTGCCCTGAACTGACCTTTACCTATAAGTAGTCAATCGTCTTGTCTTGTATTCTCTAACTTGAATCTACTCAGTCTTCTGATAGACCTTCCTTGAGCAAGACAGCTCTCGTATACGATTTCACTAAAGACTCTTCGTCTTAGTGCCTATACTTGATCGATACCATTAGTCTCGTCTTCGCTTGCCGACTCCTGTCACCAAGCCTTGACCCCAAAGATAAACGATAACGAAGCTT